ACAAATAGTCACCTATGTTTATTAATATTAATTGTGTAATATTAAGTTAGATTAATCTTTAATACCTTATCAACCTTACTTGGAGCCTTTATATATCATAGATTTGGGCTATTCTTGGTCTTTGGACTTTTTTAGATTACTTATTATCACCTCACATAGAACTAAATACATATTAGTAATAATAAAGTAATTTAGCAAATAAATTAAACTTATAGTTTAATATCAAAATTCTTTAAAATTAACAGCTATAGCTTATATTATTATTTGTTGGCATGTTTTGGAGCACTTGCTGAAATTTTAAAAAAACAAAGAAGGAAGTTTCTTAAGACTTTTAAAGCGTTATATACTAAAACTTTAATAGATCATTGCACCACCTCTAAAAACCATCCTGAGGCAAATAGTTTAGCTAAACAAGTTATTCTTATTTAAAAAAATACAAGTTAAAAGTCTCAACATGTAGCATCAATAAAGTTGCATACAAAGAGAAGTTTGGAATAAGATAATTCTTACTTCCAATACCTATTACTTATAGATAGTAGTTGCTGCCATTATCAATAACTCCCATCTTTTAACTTATACATCCATTCAAGAATATATCAAGTATATCTTTTAGCATCTTATCTTTTATTAAAATATGTCTTAACATATATTTTATGTTCTTGTGATCTTTTGGCATCTCACGTATTATAAAAATATTTTATTGCATATATTTTATATTCTTATTTAATCTTTGAATATTTTTTAATTGATTCTTTATGTTCTTGATTTTGTCTCTTAATCCTTAATCTTATCTTTTATTTATAAGATGGCCTTTCTACATACTAAGAGACAATCCTTTGACTAGTAGAAATTTATCTAAAGTAATATCTTTTATAAGATAACTTACTCTATTTTTAATCTTATTTTTTATTTTAATAAATTAGACTATCAAGGATGGTTTATAAAAAGATAGATTAATTCATAACAATCATTGTGATTGTAATTTTATATTGCAATAGAATATTTCTTTAATAAGTAGTTATGTTTGGTATCATATAGTCTTTATCAATTGTTGTATGGATAGGAACCAATCTTATCAAGTTTAATGCTTAAATAGCTAGTTCCAACTGAAAATGTGGATAATATTAGTACTTAGGCACTGTGTCTACAAGTTTGAGTAGAATTCTTTAAATTATCATATTTATCTATGATTATAAAGTACTTATCTATGACTATAATGAACTTATTTATATTTCAATATTGTGATATACTTATATGTGTAATAGAGCTTAGTGATTGCAATTACAAAGATTCTCTAAAAAAGATTATAAGTATATATAACATTACTTATCTACAATATTTGATATTAAGACAAGGCATATAATTCTACATATAAACAATGTATTATTCAATGATATTTTGTTGCTTGAAGGCAATGATGGATAAGATTGTCATGAGTATTTAAAGAATTTTGTTATTTGTCATCTTCTTATTGATGATTTTGTACATCCTCAATTAGCAATTGTATTAAGTAGTCTTCTTTGTTTTGTATGTGAAGAAAAGAAAGGAAAAGCTATCAAGTTTTTTTGTGATCAATAGTAATGTGGGTAGTATATGGCATGCTTAATACTACCTCTTTCAACTCTTTAATGAAGAAATTAGATTTGTCCTCATTATAGGAAATCATTCAACTATGACTTATTTATTGATAAAGATTGAAGGTTCTTTCTTTCATATTTATCACACATTTTGGTGGTTTAACTCCTACAACATTGACTTGGATAATTACAATTCTATACCAACATCATTAAGGCATTCATCTTTGGTTATGTATGTTTTGTTGACCTAATTGAATGAAAGGTCTATAGAACCCTTTTGGTGTCTACATAATTCAACTTCTTGATGCTCCCATCTCTTAGAGTATTAAATGTCAAGACAGCATTTTGCATTCATCTACCAAATCTAAATACAAAGCTCTCTTTGATGGTGTTCAAGAAGTTTTCCATCTTTCTTATCTTTTCAAAGAACTTCAAGTTTCGTCCATCTCTTCAATTTTGATTTTTTTTACTAACTCAATGATCCATTCTAATTTTAAAATAATATCTATTTCTATATCACAAGATTTCTATTTATCTTGTAATAATATTAAAGCCATTAAACTTCCTCATACTTCTATATTTCATACATGCACCAAATACATTAAAATCAATGTTGAATTTTTTTGTAAAATACTTCTTTCAAAAGAAATATTCTATTATATATTTAGATTTAAGAATATTTTTACAGAACCATCATTCAAGCTAAAATTTTATAAAATTTATAAAATCCTAAGTGTCCCTTCTTTGTCTTTACTACAAAAATATATTCTTATAAAGCATCTATTTTGAAATACTACATCTTGCTCTTTCCTTTCAACTCTCTCATATGAGCAATCACTGCCATCACCTTCAACTAGTTACATTTTCATCTTTAGTAATGATATCATTACTTCAAGTCTTGCTATTGTGAGATGTTGAAGCATCAAAATAATTCAATGTACTTCTTTTGCAATTTTTTTCTATGATTTTTGTAAAATTAAACTTCTTCATTACAATATCTAAAGAAAATATCAAACTTATCCTTTCATTGTTTTTTGCACACAACTCAATTCTTCAATAACTCTTTATAGATTGATCTCAATTCGAGTTGAAAGAGGATTATGTCTCATCTTTTACTTCCACTCATATGCTATGAAATATTATATTGTTGTGTTCACATACCCAATTAACATGTGTTTTTTGTAACTAATAGCATGACACATGTGTTTAAAGCACATAAAGGTATTAGAAGTCTATTTTAACTCAAGGAACAATCAACTCATTCTTAACTTTCTATAGTTAAATTAAAATAGTTATTTTAGAATTTTAAATTACTACAATGAGCCCTTTAGGCTTCTTGCCATGTATTTAAGTTTGGCTCTTGTCATTTGATTTAATTGTTAGATAAATTTATTTTTTTCTATATCATTGATTTTTCTTTGAAAAAATCTACTATTATTTGATAGCTATTTTGATAATTGTCATCTTTTTTACAATTATTATTGATTGGTATTGTCTTAAAATTCCAAAATTTAAATACTAATTCTAAACTAATTCTAAACTAATTCTAAACTAATTCTAAACTTTGAACAACTCGTAATCTTATATTAAATATTTTTATCCATACAATTATTATTATTATTATTATTATTATTATTATTATATGTGTGTGTGTGTGTGTGTGTGTGTGTGTGTGTATGTGCATGTGTATATATATAATTTTTATATATTTTTTTAATAAAAAATTCATTTAATAATTGAAATAAAATTTGACCAATTAATTAAATTTTTTGACTCTTGGATTGGCCAAAAACTTTTAATATTCTATTAATGTAAAATATTTATCTATCAAATTAATTTTAATATTTTTGCATTACTAAATTAATTTCCTACTTAATAGTTTTATATTAATAAGATGTTATCCCACCAACTTGTATATAACTTATTATACTACTACTAAACTAATATATAATTATCCTTGTTATTCTACTAAATTAATATATAGTTATTCTTGTTGTTGTCTTTTACTAGTATTATGTCTATTAAGCATTATTTGATTTTTTAATATAGCCATTAATTTATAAAATAGATAGAGGTTAATAATATAGAGCCTAAAGCAAGGAGATAAATATTTGATATTTGAAAAAAAAAAAAAAAAAAAAAAAAAAAAAGACAATGATGACTATTTGTTAATTTTACACTTTAACATAAAACAATAGTAAGTACATGCACTCTACTTTCAATTATCATCTATCTTACGTGTAATACTATATGACCCAATCTTTTTTAGATCTTGACATTCTTTAATTTTAATAAATTCACCATCTACAACTAAATGTCTTAGTTGTTTTGTCAAAGATGTTCTATATCTACAAATACTAATAATTACTCCATCACTTTAAATACACACTATATGTGTACCAATTATGTTGTCATAGTATTATTTGTGATAAAATGAACATCTATCATTGTTTGTCTTTAAAACCTTGTTTAAATTCATACACTATATGTAATATAATGAATATAGTTTTTAAACAATGCAATCATCTTATAGCCAAGATATTTTTTTAGTCATTGGAAGTTCAAATAACAAAAACATGATCAGAAAATTCTTAAATTATTTTTATATTTTTATATATTAGAATATATAAATTGAGATATTAATTGTTACTTTTATAAACTCCTAAATATTCACTATTTTTTGTAAGTTCCATCAATAAATAACTTTGATTACCTTAATACACTTTAATAATTACGCTTTTTTCTTTGTATTCTATTTAGATTTGTGTCAAAAGTAATATTTACAAAAAATACAAATTAAGTCTTTACTTATCTCTAAATCTTGGTTTTAATTGCAAAGATAATATTTAAATTAATGAATGCTTTCAATGCACAATCTCGTGTTGAATTAATTGGCCAAATTTTATACAAATAATTAGAATAATTCATGAAGGACAAGTCAAGTCTAAATTTTAGTTAGGATTTACAAAAATTCATAAATTGAAAATTAAATCAATGAATTTATACTCAATTCAAAGCCATGATATTCTTCCTAAAATGCTATAATACCTATATGAACTGTAAATAATTATATACTCATAATTATACACATTTACTAGCTAGTGTATGTAAATCAATCATAAAATTTTCCAATTCACCATCATTACTTCATAAGAAGATAACAAATGAAAACATTGCTTGTAAGATTCCAACAAAACATAACAGAACATGTGACACTCATCATAGTCAATGCCATTGCTTCATAGGTGAAGACATGACTAATTTGTAGGAACCATTGTATGGCAACCAGATTTCATGCAAAATTTAAGAACTGAGACAAACAGTAAATAATTGGGTGATTTGTTGGCAATGGATGCCATCATACTCAATGTGCACAATTTGATGAATCAGCCACCACGTGTTGCAATATCAAGCTTGCAAGAATTAAACAAATCGAAAGTGGAGAAGTAACTCTTAGTGTAGGAGTAAATGTTTGAGTTGAAAACAAAAGGCATTATCACATACCTTAGGTGTGTCAAGAAATCCCATGTAAGAGTCTAAAACAAGACTTCGTTCAGTATGCTAGGAACATTTTGACAGGTAAAATTCCATGACATAACTGAACAATGAAGGCTGCAGCAGAAGGTATCTCACTGCAGCTGAAAAGACCTTATGCCTAGGGCAGATTTTTCAGTTCTGTTACTAAAGCTTGAAATATCCAATTCCCCAGATCACCACACAGTTAATTTGTATCAAAAGTGAACTTCTTGATCCACCCGCAAACTAAGATGTTTTAAAATGCTCAAGGCAAGGAAAGCAACAAACTTACAGCTCTGGCTCAATCGCAACCAATCGATTTGATATCCTGGAGCGTAATGGAATGGACAGGGATATCCTGTATCAATACACACGTAAAAGGCTTCACAGTTTCACCTCCCCATGCTGCCGACAGCGATATCTCTGCGTAGACATCATGCCAAATGGATCTCTTCACCGTTGTGAGCTGATATTATTACGAAGACTCAGAACAATTCTTGACATCTCTGCAATTTATAGTAAGAGCTGAAAAGATTTGAAGCCGGTGTACTTGATTCCAGAATGTAATGACACAGCTAAACGCTCGAATAGATAGTCGAAAGAGACTTGAAAGCACATGAGCTGCATATTGGATGTTTTAATGTATGCCGATGTGCCCATGTTGACCATCTTTTGCGTCACTTCCTGCAATTCCACGAATAGAACCATAAAACGCTTGTTGGATCTATTACAGGTAAGCCTACAAGGGTTGATGACATCTTTCTAATTTACCCATCCAGTACAGGTGAGACACTGACCTCTTTTCTACATACGAGGAACAAAGACTTCTTTGAGCTTGAGGCCATCGGTATATTTCGAACAAGAATCATAGATGCGAAAAAGCCACTAGTTCCAACCCAAGCCAGTACGACCAGTGTTGCCCAAAGCTAAGATGGGATCTACTAGACCTCCTTCTCCAGAGCCCAATGATTGTCCCTGTAAAAGAGCAGCATCCAGTATATGTAAAACTCCTAAAAAAGAGCTGGGAGGAAAGAAGATATGCGTGAATAGAGGAGCATGATAAAAATAGATGTATTTCCTAATTACAAAAACTTCTCCGGATTTCAACGGCCTATATAATTGCACTAATTGATCTGTGGAACAAAAACAACTAACCTCTTTCCACCCCATACCCTCCAACATCCGTTTCCCGATGTTATCCCTCCCTATGCGCCTTGCTGAAGCGGCCTTTTCCAAGGCTGCTGGCATCTCTGTGGCAGCTTCTGCTTCCTCTTTCTCAAGCTCGTGTACAGATACTAGCTTCTGACCAGGTCCTATTCCGAAACCCCTGTGTAAAGTTCTTCTCTCTGCAGCCCTGTCCCTATATTTAGGTTGCGGTTCCCCATCGACTCCTTTAAATTTCAGCTTTGAGTTCTTCTGTCCATAGTACAAACACATTTCAGAAGCTCTAGGGCATAATGACAGAGAATGTCGATGTCTATATTCAAGAAGTTAGAAACTGCGCTCTACTGTAGAGAACATCTTTAAAATCTTTTTGAAATAAATTTACCAAGGAGAAGACTATTCAGTACAAAATGAAGAACAATTCTAACCTTCTTAGGTGCAGCAGACTGATCGTTCCCAAGTCCAGAATCAGTGCTTAAAATAGCATCATGCGTGCCGGAACTATGGCTGATGTAGTTTTCTGCTGGATTCGTATTTATGAGTGGGAGGCCCCAATCTTGACTTGGATTGGAGGAAACACAGCCAGGATATACTGCAAGATGTTTCGAGCTTGGCCGTCGAAGTTTGTAAATCCGCCCTGCACAAATATAACTTTGCAACTAGTTAAATACCAGACAAACACTGATACAGGTTCCATTCAAAAGAATTTAGAACATACGAAACCTTATAACAAAAGTCTGACAATAGTTTCCTCAGCTTATCTCTGCTGCCAATAGAAACTGAAGCCCTCGGAACAAATTCTTAGCAAAAATATTCCACGGCAACTCGTAAGAATATACTAAATAATATGTCATCCAATAAACATTTTTGACAAATTATGGACACGATTATACAATACAAGAATAAGAGAACAAATGAACTGAAAAAATGTCATCTGAAATGAGTGTCTAACGAACCTGATGAGACCTTCACAAACTCATGGTCGGCTTCAAGTATTGGAGTAGTACGAATAAGACCTCCTGAACCACGTAGAGATGGATGAACTTGAGTAGCATTTGGTGCTAACCGGCCCACCAAACGAATGATTTTCTTCACTTTCTTTTTTGAAACCTTTTTTTCCTGCTCTACAATACTCCAGTCCCAAAGTTCCATTGAACCACTATAAGTTCGTGGCTTTAACTTAGCTGCTGGAAGATACTGAGCTTGCCACTGTTCTTCTGCTGTTACGACTGATGCAGTTGTAATTAAATCTGCATCACTTCCAGGCAAATTCTCAGAGAGATGGGTGACGTAAGTATAGTCAGCTCCTGCAATTTTACCATCCTCATACAGATAGTTTTCTGTGTGTATGGGAGATGACCCTCTGTATGCAGGATCTTCTCCTCCACCGAAAGTGCCACGATCTTCTCCATCCATTCCTAAACTTTCTGTAAGCAAAGAGAATCGAAAATCTGTTACTCATCAAATTTGCCACTACATCAAAGTCCAATCTCCACACAAAACCATCTACCCATAAAGGAGGAAAGACTAGAGAAAAGAAGAGGGTATACCTGGTTCCTCACTAGGACTCTCGCGAATTTCACCTTCTTCTACTTCATCAATATCAGCGAAGACATACTTTTCTTTTTCCTCTTCTTCAGGTCTCCATTCACCTTCTTCTAGCTCTTCACTCTGATCATCTGACTGCAAACAAAAAATTATAAATAAAGATAGTACTAATAACCTCACGTTACACAAAACGAAATACAACACATATCTTCACGCTGTGTACCACCAACCCTCACCTCATACAACTCGTTGTCCATTGTTGCGGGATATTCCCCGGCAACACTGTAGCCCCAATGTTGCCGACGTTGGTGTTGTGGCTCTCGCCAGGTATCTTCATTATAATCTCCACTCATGTAGGTGTATTCATATGGGTCTTCTCCACCAGAATTTGGAAGGTAGTACAAATGCTGTGAAGAAGGATCAACACTTACTCCAGATTTTCCTCCGTTGGTAGGTGTCTCAAACGTATTCTGTGAGTACAACTCGTTGAGGGTTTCTGCAATCCTGAAAGTGAATCAAACTATAATGTAAGTTTAATGTTCTCAAATTTTATAGAGGAAAAGTCGACGTCCATATGGTAATATGAAGTCTTTAACCATTTTTCGTGAAATGAAAGCACGCAATGAGACCTACCATACGGAAGCTGGTCTTGATTCTACTGGCTCATTACCAGCATCTCCTTGTTCAGTAGTATCCAAGCTTTTAGTTGGTACAGTTCCCATAGATAGCGAAGACATTTCGGTTCCAGGGATCAATCCGCTTGAAGAGTCGCTTGTGACTTCAGTCACATTCTGCGCATATCTAAAAGATTGAACTTGCCATTCAGAGTCCGATGCTACAGCTGCGGCATCCTTCATAGTGCTATCTTTATCTAGGTGGGATGACGTTTCATCAATGGTAGCTTCTTGATCTGCTGTGAAGCCAGCGATATGTGTAGACATTGTTGAATTTCTACTTGTAGAAGTCGTTCCCTGTATAGGAATGGCTTCTTCACTCAGATGATGTTCAGGATTTGACAAACGCCCAGCACCTTGAACCGATGCCTGATTTGATTCATCATCAACAGCTGTTTAAATTCCACAGGTCAGGTACAACTAGAATTGCTTATAGCTAAGACCAAGGTTGTAGATTAGACGATACAGCGGCTTGTTAAATAGAGCTGTTGCATTCACTCGTAATATGCGATTCTGATTTATAAATTAATAGGACATCAATAATACTTCCCAACATATATTGCAGTGTGAACGATAACATAAATCAGATTGGGCACCTAAGCTATACAATTACAGGGTAGCTACCTCGAAGAACAGTTTCTTCACGGACCGTCGCTGATAAAGGCACGTAAGCCTCGTTCTCATATATATAATACTGTCCATCATGAGTATTGTAGTACCAACCAGCTTGCGCATCATAGTAGAAACCAGAGCTGCACAGATGCATTTTCTTTTTTATTTCCCTCATTATGATTACAAATGCATTGAAGCAAATACCAAAATTGAAATACCAACTAAAAAGTGGTAACTAAATGAATCTGAATCATAATAGTAACTATCGCTCTTCCATAATAACTAACTACAACCCTTCTTTGACAACCACTTCTCGAAATTCAATCCATTCATAATGACTAAGTCAACAGTAAAACAAATCTATACATCGCCTCGCTCTTTTATGTTATATTGCTTTCTAGTCTTCAGTTATTTCATTGAGCCAAGTGTTCTCACTCTGTTCCACATGTTCAGAGTACACTACAAATCGCACACGATTGAAGTCGACAAAACCCTCCAAACCAAGCTGAAAAATGCAAACATTGGCATCTTTTCGACTAGAGCCCAAAAACTCTCTGGGATCCACATGGAAATCCATCGATTAAAATAGGCGTGCGACGAGAAAGAGGCCGCATAAAATACCTGTACGGTACATGACACTAAATAGCAGTGGGGGGAGCGGCCGCCCAATACTTTACCAGTAAGCATGCTCAAGTAAAGGTACAACTATAAGAAAGAAATCATCTCGATGTCCTGTTAAGAGGACACTTTTAACGTAACTAACGAAGAGTGACCACGACTGTTGTGACCCAGTGCTACTTGAAGTTATTCAGCACCACACCTATCCATAATCCATCGTTAACACTTCAAAAAGTCAACAATATTCGAGCAAAACTTGATACAGCACCTGGCATCGTAGTAGAGCCCGGAAGTGGAGTCGAAGACGAACCCGGGAGCGTCCGATGCCACAGCAGATGGCGCGTCCATAGCCACCGCACTCTCTGTTTGAAATTGAGCTGAATGCATTAGAGCCGGCGCAAAGGATTGGTAACTCCATCATCCTAAATAATTCACGCATTCAGATTAGTTACCATGTTACACTATTTAGTCAGGGCTTAACAACAAAGGAAAAAACGGCAATTAAAACTGAAATTTATAATATGAAAAAAAATAACTAATTCTTAACCTAATTACATAATGAACCTGCTTTTGCAGAATTTTAATATGATACATAAAAGAGAATTGAGGTCACATTGTACAGCTCCTCCACAAATCGAACCCACATTCCAGAGCGTATGACGATGGATTGAAGAGACTATGAACAATACTTGTTTTCTCATATACGGCTCAAATTCGATTAAAAATATAAACCCTTCTACCAGTCGGGCAGCTTGCCAAAGTATCCCTTAATGCTTGCACAACGGAAATACCTGAACACTGTCGACTCTCAATAACTGAAGCAACTTCATCAAACAACCCTGTATCGGACCAAAAGTCACGAGATCGTTAGACAAAGCCTCAGTCAAAGGTTCGTAATTCAACACTTGAATACATCATGAAATGATAAGATGTTGCCGACTGTTTCATGAGGTGACTGTCGCAATGGAGAATTGTGGCGGAAACCGCAAAACGTGTTCAAACAACTCTAACGTTAGAGAGAGACTTGGTTGTATCAACGGCAGGTTTGCAAAAAAGATATCTATGCTCAGCCCTCACTCTCAAGTTGAGTACTTCGGACTCACATCACGCCAGAACCAGACCTACCAAATCCTCTCCAGAAGCAGCTCACTGTGTCAGCGCGATCCTGAATACGACTGGGCTCAGAATAAGTAAACGAGAGGGGGGAAAAAAAGCCATACAAGGATCCCGCACTTGCCTAAACAATGACATTGGTTCTTCATTTACTGCTTCACTCCCCCAGCTATCCGCAACACATAACATTCACCTCCCAATTCCAACATTGCATCCAGAATCGACGGCTCAAAAACTTGACATGAAAAAACCTAAAAAAACGACCGAAAAATCCCATCTCTTAAACCTTGGGAATGGAATCTGATCATCCATCCACCTCAAAGAATCATTGGTACTGTGATTGCGAGAACGGAAAATCCATGGCTCCCAAACGCCATCCGAGCATGTCAAAATCAAATGCGGAAGGTGCTGGGGGCTGTGGCCACCTTCATTCGGTCCACCTCCTCCCACCTCGGGGTGATTCAGCCAAAGCGGGTGGCGTATATATGTATTCAATGGGGTATGTATGTACCTGTAAGTATGTATATCGTATGTATCAAATGTAACGTACGTGTGACGCACAACTGAACATCCCATTCAAATTTCGATCAACTCCAAGTTCTACAAATACAAGAATGTGGTTTACACAAACATAATTTAGTTTCTACGGACGGTCGAACTATTAAAATTCAGATTGTGTGTTGTTTTATTCATCTATTTGAATTTGGCACTAATTTTGAGTGGTTGAAGTTTAATCATAATTTTATTGTGTAGTAAAATTAGCTTGTTCTTACTTAAGCAACAAGGTTTGAGATAAATCATATAGTGTTGCACCACATTTTATTAAGTTCAATTGGTTCTTAGTTTTCTTTTCTTTTCTTTTCTTTTCTTTTTCAAAACATATTGAATCATCATATATTTGTAATTTACAAATTAAAATTATTTCTTAAATAGCTTGGATAATACTTGTTATTTATTTATTTCTTTTAACATATACTAGTACCAATCAAAAATATAAATTTTTAAAGTATTTTGATACAAAATATAATAACTAAAAAAATTAAGATGTTAGTATTAATTAATCAAAATCCCTACAACTTAGTTTTAGAACATGTTATAGAATATTTAAATTTAAGATTTTTTTTGGTAGTGATAAATCATACTAAGTGTCTTACACATGAAAATAAACGTGGCTTTAACCACCTTTTAATATATATATATATATAAAAAAAAATTATTAATAATTCTAGAGGTTTCTTGGAATTCTTTAGAACAGCCCATAATATTCTTACCTTCCATAGTTTGCCATAATTATTATAGATGATTCATATTCTTCTCTTTCTACAAAAAATGTAGTTTGCAATATTCTATGGTTGTTAGATATTATATTAAAGGCTTCTACACAATCTTGATGTTGATAATATAAATAAAGAGACAAGACATGAAAAACCTTAATTTTGCTAATACAAGTTTTGGAACAACTAAAAGCTTTAAATTTTTCTAGTATTGCACTATTTTTTGTTTTATTATCTTATTTCTTGATTTTTATGTATATATTTTAATTTTCATAGTCCACCATCTTTTTATTCTTAATTTTTTTGTAATATTGAAATTTTATTAAAAAAAATAAGTTTTTTTTTAAAGTGAATAAATTACTAAGTTTTATGAAAAATATTTTTGTAATGTTAGATTGCAAATCATTCACATTTTACAAAAAGAATATCTTATATTAATAATTAGTGAAGAAAATAGATTATTCTTCTTTTAAAATTTAAAATTTGATCTTGTAGATTATAAACAAAGTGCTACTGAGCTAATATTTTGTCTTAAATTTAAATATTTCTAAAATAGTAAAATATTGTTACTGCAAACTTAATATCTAATCTAAGAGGTTGCAAATCACTTACTCTAAGAAGATTGTTTTAAAGACTTCTTAAAAAGAAAATTAAATATAATTTTTAAAATAATATAAAATATTTAAAAATATTTAATTGAAATATTTTAGGAGAAAATTCTTAACTAAGTTTTGCATTTATAATAAATCATACTTAACATATCATAGAAAATACTCTCTTATAGATATATGTTATAAAAAAGTATAAAAAATAAAAAACAGCTATGCAATACCAAATTTGTTATTGCTTCATCACAATAAATTGATGAAATTTCAATAGATTTTAAAAATATTAAAATTGATAATTAAATAATAATAATAATAATAATAATAATAATAATAATGACTATAAAAACTATAAAATTCTATTTTTATTATTGTAATAATATGAAATCAATTTAATCATAATAAATATAACGATTTTATAAACAAGACAAAATTTATAAATATATTGTCTTATTTATAAAATCGTTATATTTTGTCTTATTTATATAAAATCGTTAAATTTGACGATTTTAAGTTTTGACAATTTTAAGTTTTGCTTTATCATCTATAATTAATTTATGTCTTATATTCCATATATTTTATGGATTTATCTAATCATGATTTGTTCAAATAAGTCAATATTTTTCTGACTTTTCTTCCCAAACATTATTCTTCAAAACATTAATGTAATTTGAATGTATACCTTTATCTAAATAATATTCATTTTGTATAAAATATTTTTTTATCTCATAGAGATAGTTTTTTCTTATTATATTTGACTTGGCTTATCCTAATATTACATAAAAATAATTTATTATCAATCCAACTACATTAAATATTTTTCTATATATTTTTCCATGGATCATACATATTAATCAAATAAAAAAAATATTCTTAAACAAATGTTTTTTCAACTTGTAAGCAATTAATTACTCATAATACTACTTAATTCCTAATACTCTTATAAAAAATAAAAATAAAACTCTCTCTTGTAGCTTAACTCCAATTCTTGATTACTATGATCTTAAATAAATCATAGTCTTAGAAGATAACACGTATTGTATTGAAATATCATCCCTTTCTATATAGATGAATTTTTTTTCTACCTCAATTAAGTCAGTAACTTCAATCTTCTTAATTTGTCAAATATGTTTTTTATAATCATAATAAATTTATTAACTTTTTTAATTAAATTTATGTAAATTAAAGTTTAAAGTTGTGGTAAGAATATATTTATTTTGAATGTGATTTATTACAGGCTTTTAAAGAACAAAGCATAAAGATTAGATAAATTACATACTCAATAGAAACTTAAGACTAAAGTTGACCAAATTGTTTTTGTAGATAATTATAAATAGATATAATTTTTATTAATATAACTTTTGTAATGGTCATTTTATTATATATATTTTTAATGTTTGAAAATATGTTTTCTTTAACTCTACTTGAGGTTTATACTTATGATGCACATAACTTCTATAATAGCTTTGACTATCATACAAATTAAGTAGATGGTACTTTAGATTACATCAAGATGGTTGTCCAAAGCTTTGTTTTTAGATTTCTAACAAAACTAATTTCAAAATCATGAGTTCACAAAAAATATTGATAATTTAAAATATATCTATATTTTGTTAATAGTTTGAGATGTATTAATTATTTTATTCTAAAATTTAATTGATATCATAAATTTTGGTATTTTCTTAGTTAAAATTTTATAATGAGGTTTATTTATGGATTTGAAAGTTGAAAACAAATCCTTTAGAATCTTTATATAATTTAAAACCTAAGATTTAATTAATTTTTAGTTAATTAATTTTATTCATCAATAGTATTGAGATTAAAACATGATACATACTTTTAAGATTTTTCAATGTTTGTGTAATGTTTTGTTAAATTCCACAAAAAACTATTGTTCTTTAATAACAAACATGCTACAAATATTGGTATTAAAGAGTATTTAAAACATTTGTAATTTTGTATAACTTTGTAGACATTTTGTACTACTTTATGTAGATCTTAAAAATTCCTTAGATTGTTTCAAAATACATTGTTAACTGAATGGATATATATATATATATATATATATATATATATATATCTTTTAAAATTATTATTTGCTATCTATATCTTCTAAATTCTATTAAAAGTTTTTTGAAATTTTGTTTTTTATTTTATTTTTCAAAATAATCTATTAATTTTAAAACATGAATTACAAGTATCAACAAGGAGTGCTATTAACATACTAAAAGTAAATAAAAAATAATAAAATACTTTTTTTCTTACTACATAAGTTTTGCAGCAATCCTAGTGTTTTACAAGTTTATTGTTTTATATTTAGAATAGTTTTTTATTTGGTATTTTGTTTCTCTTGTATTTTTTCATCATTTATTGCTTTGCTTTTGCATCCAAGAAAATTCATTAAAAAAAACACATAATGGAATTTGATAAGTTGCAATCAAAATTGCAAAAAGGATGGATTACAATAATATTTTATTAAATGTTTTTAGAAAATAAAATGTACTGCATTAAAGAATTTTTCTTATATCTTTTAAACTACACAAAAATACTTTTTTAAAATAAATTTATCTAATATCAACCACACATATGTTTTGTTTCTGTTTTATGATTGAAATTTTATCTGTTTTATGGAATATGATTTTTTATTATTTTTTTAATGCAACTTTTAAGTCGCAATTTTGTTTCTTTTCGAAAAGTGCAGTAATTATATATACAGCATGCTCTGACCTATTGATGCAAACATTTAATTTATTTAGTATTCTACGTTTGAAACTGTCACTGATACGAGAATGTAAAATTATGATCAGAAACTAAAAATTTAAATACAACATTCACAAACCAGTACGTTGCCCCCCCCCCTTTTTTCCCTTCATGAAATGTCAAAAACTTTATTTAATGTTTAGTTAAAAGACGTAAATAATTATTGTTTTCTTTGCAATATGCATACACTTAAAGCAATACATTTCAGCTCAAGAAGTATCCTGTGTGTAAAATAGAACAGTACAAAAGATAACATGATTTTATTAAATTTACTTGGAACTGATTGTAATTCCACAGAATGCTGATTATTAACATTTCATTGCAGTACTCTATATGTGTACTTTTTCGTATGGTTTACTTTATTTGAAGAAATCAGAGTATAAACAATACAAAAGGATTCGCATGATGATGAATATTTCACATTATATCATTATTTATGTTAGAAACAATCAAGCTTTAACATTGGATTGTTCATATAGCTTTAGCAAATAGGAATGGGAATGCATTGTTTAGAAGTTGAATTTGGAAAATATTCAAGCAAGCATGGAATAAAAATAGGAGTATTACATCCATAATTAGGCAAATGACTGGAGGCTTCTCCACAAATGTAGCAACGTACCCAGTCCAAATCTAAATTGGATGAACCGCAGGAATCTTCGTCTACTTCAAGTTTCATCCATCCAATTCTCTGCTTTTCCGTCCACCATAAAAAGCTCGCCTCCTTTCGAATGAAGCTTTTGTTCACCTTTGCACAAGACTGGGCTGTGAAACGAATTTGTGCTCGTACGTCCGACGGAGTTTATCATCCGATATCGATCGGAAGCGGTGGAAGAAAGAGGGCCCATAATCGTCGTCGTCTGCTGTGACATGTGAGAGTGTCCATGGCGGGCAACAACAGCTTCGTCCCGCAGAGTTGCGCCAAATCTCATTCGGACTTTATTCACCTATCCTTGCCTGGTAGGGTGAGCTCCCATGGGTCCCTGGGGAGGTCAAGTGAGTTGCTTTAGGGTTAGTGTAGTTTTCGTGGGCAGTTTTGAGGCTTTGGGGAAGTTTTATGCGTCGTAAAACCCTTGCGTTTCGCTTGGCGGGAGCTGATGTCGGGGCGTGATCTGTTCGCCGCCGTTATATATTTTTATTTTGGTGGTGCTATGGTTAGGGCATGTGGTGGTGGTTCATTGCGAGGGTTGAGGAAGTATCAGGCTTGAGGTGCGTCGTGGTATGGTTCTGGTTTTGGAGAAGTTTTTGGATTCTCACATTATTCTCCATCGCTGTGGCCTCATCTTTCTCTCTCTCTATTAGTCATATGGCCTCGGGGCTCAATTACATGACGCTTGGTTCGATGCCTCGCATTTTGTGGGATTTAGGGTTTGTTTTAACGTTGTGTGCATCCGACCTAAAACTTGAAAACTTCATTCCCATCAACTTCAAGAGACTTTGCGTGTTCTATGTCGCTGGCATCCGTTCTGCGCTTTTTTCCGGACTGTTGTCTAGGCAGGGAGTCTGGAAGGGAAGTTGTTTTGGCAATGTAGATGCTGAGGTAGTTTCTTTAGGACTCGACACGATGATTTCACGTCTACTCCGGCATCTTTTTTCCGGTGTAGAACATATTTGGAAAGTGCAGCATTTTCAAGAAAGGAGCTCGGCATCTGCCTGCGACAGGTTGTTACTCGGGTGTGGTCCGAGCGGGAAAGATAGCCATGGTTTGCGATTTTCTCTTAGATCACAAAAGCATTTTGCTCTTCGTTTAGTTTTCCAGGCGTGGCACATGAGTGCCCGACCCACTTGCAGTAGTAGTTTGTTCCAACTAGACTCTGTTCGCCCGAATATCAGAAATTTTGTCAGGTCTTACAGCTCAACTTCCCTCATTGATTACAAGATTGCCTCCACAGTGTTGGTCATATCTGGTTCCACAGTCCTAGACCGGTTTCTTTGTCGCAGTTCTCTGGTCCGTCGTTTGTAGTTGAGCTCTCTATGTAGAGTTGGCAAGGTGCTGCTCTTTGCAGACCGTCTCATGGTCGCATGAAAATGAATTTGGGGTGTAAAGAATGACGATACTTGTTACGATGGACTGGGAATAGTCTGAGCGAAGTTTGTAGTTCGAATCTATCGTATGGTCCGCCCGGTGATGGGACATGGCATGCGTAGCAGGTCGAACATGTGTCTCATGTTCAGCATGCACCGTTTCGAGTCTTACTCTTTTCGCTTCTGCAACGGGACCTTCGTTCGTGACCTACATCGAAGTCCCGCTCACACTGGCCGGGTCTGGAGTTCTCGTTTGAATTTCAATCCGTGGGTTGCTTCGTGCTGAAAAGTGGTTCTCAACAAGTCGACTCTCGATTTCTTTGCATGCAGTCCGCAACGGTTCCTTGGAGTCGCAGAATTCGGTTTGCTGACCTCCGCGTGACATGTTTGTGTTTACAGTCGGTTCAATTATTTGGCGGAGTGGTGGTGTTTTGTATGCTGGAGCTATGAGTGGGTGAGGTAGTGCCTGTGAAGAAACCGATCTCGATTCCCTCTTTAATGCCAAGTAGATAGTCCGCTGCAATGGAGATTTTGGCGAACAATGGCCACGAGGTGGCTGATAGAGTGGGGGACGTTGGTCTGTCGGGTGCTTGCGAAGTTGAGAATGGGCTAATGACAGCAACTACCAGCGCTCTCGCTGGTGATAGGATCGGGGATCCCAACAGCTTGCACCTGGAGGATGAAAGCGAGATAGTAAGCACGAAAAAGAGGGCGTTTGATGAAGGATTGAAGGAGTTGCGTAGCCCGGCGAAAAAGCTTGCCGTTAGAGGATCTTCAGACGTGGAAGTGAATTCTGTACTATTGAATTCTTCTGTTGGAGATGCAATGCTGATCGACACGGCTTGGGGAGAACCGGGAGGGGGGTGAGTTGCTCACATACCCTTGGTAGTAGCTTCGTTCGGAGTAGCTTGCGCGTTGCGTCGTGTCTTGGCTGTGCTGCGTAGGTGGATGTGTTCTGTTAGGAATTAGTCGGTCGGTGACGCCGTGGCGAGTAGGGGTCACCTGTGGACGTTGGGAATCGGGAGCTTGCCACTTACTTCTGTGTGACTTTAGTGGGACTGAATTGTCGTCCTGTGTGTTTAAGAGGAGCGAGATGGTGTGAAATTGATGTCAACGTATCTTTGAATTTGGGAGTGGTATAGTTTGTTGGTACTGTGTAGTACGAGCACGAGGCTTGCGAGTGTCTGAAAGTGAATCGGTGGTTTTCAAGGTGCAAAGTGTCGGACGGCCAGGCAGTACCGGGTTCACCCAGGACAATTTCTGGTTCCATCAGTGCTTGCACTAGCGTTCCCGCTCTGTCTGCGGAAACGGGTATAATCGTGGATGGCGATGCGTCGAGGGTTTGCGAAGCTGCTGAAGGGAATTCGGATTTGCAGAATGTGGGGGTTATCTCGGCTTCTGCGGACTCCAGTGTGGATACGGTCAACTGTGACGGAGAGCTGGCTACGTCGAATTCTGCGGAGTTGGAGTTGAAAGGCATGGATGCAATGAACGGAATCCTTGATTCTCACTTGCCGACGCAAGTCGAAGACGACGTTGTGAAGGAGGAATGCATGGTGATTTTGCAGAATGGGCATGTGGACATGGGGATAGAGGAACATGTGATTTCAAACGTGGCCGCAGAAGAAGGAATAGATGTTGTAATGGATGCGGAGGAGTTTGTGCCAGATACGGCTGGGGATGGTGGTGTGCTGCAGTCGAGTCCGAGCGGGGATGGATCCGGAAAGACCAAGGGTGGAGGTCATGTTGTAGGTTGCTCATCGACTGTGGCGGATGAAGTGTGTGTATCGGAGGCACGAACGACACCCGTGTCAGTGGGTTCGCAGATTGCTCAAACGTGCAATGGCCTAGGGGAGTCGGTCGTTGCCGATGGTGCAGATCAACGCGAGACTGCGGATGATGAAGGTGCGAACAACAACAGTGGGATTAGTGAGGTGGATGAGTTGCAGATGGAGAAAGCAGACGCATCGAAAGCTCTAGAAATGAAGATGGTTGAGGTTATTATGGAAGGCCTTGCATTCGAAGTGGCAGGGAGTCGCAATGACGCGACATCGAACCCTTTGTCGGACGATGGCTTGGATGGGCGCGAACAGGACGGTAATGGGGGGAAGGGCCTAACGAATGGAACCGTTGAAGAGGATAAGTGCACGGAGCTGTTTGAGCCCGTGGTTCTGCTGCCGGAACACAGTGGAGGAACCAACGGCTTTGTTGAGAGTGCGGTGGACAGTGAGGATTTGAGCAGCGACCCAGCGAGAGAAGACAGTTTGGGTAACCAGGAACTTGGTGGCTCTGCTGGGGCGGCGGTGGCTTCCAGCAAGGATCTGGAGTTTCCTCAGCATTCAGGTAGTGAGAAACGGGGTGATAGCATGGATAGGCAAGATTCGGATGTCGCGACGCCATCGGCTGCGACATCGGCACAGTCGCGGTCACCTGGGTTGAAGGTTGGTGTGGTACCATTGAAGATATGGCTTTGGGCGGTTGGGTGGTTGGGTGGTTGGGCTTGGTTAGTGAGTTATGGTGCGGATGGAAATGTGAGATGTCGTTTGGAGAGCTGACATGCTGTTGTGGCATTGTGTGGGGTGTGTGCAGTCGCGATTGAAATTGAAAGGGCAAGGGGATGTGAGCATGAGACAATCTCCAACATTGAATGGCGCGAGGGGCTTCGTGGTGAAGGAGGTTTTGTTGAAAGAGGCTCCGGCGTCTGCGAAACTTCTGCTCCAGTCTGGGTTGCTGGATGGGCATCACGTGCGATATATGGGGCGTGGTGGGCATGTACGTTGTTTGCAGCAGCCCTAATGTGCCGACAGCTGGTATCATTGCATAATTGCGTATGTAAAGATATGGAGGTGGCGGTTGGATCCGGTTTGTGTGATGCTTTGTGTTCTGTACAATCATGGTTCACTGCATCGTTGCGAGGAAGGGGCTTAGTGTAGCTTGAGATGGTGGAGCTGTAGGGCATCGTAGGGTTGATGGTGCAGTCAACCTACAGGACGGTGTGTTAGTATGATGGGGTTGCGAATTTGTCCGGGAGCAACTTTGGTGTTGTGGTTTTGCTGATCCGCTGATATATGGCTGGATGCAGATCATGCTGACGGGTATCATACAAGAAGGGGGAGTACTTTGCGACTGCAGCAGCTGCAAAGGCGTGCAGGTAACACTCGACTGTCTTCCTGGCGTAGGCATGTGGGGTCTATTTGAAGGGTTTGTGCCAGGCGGAGCACTAGGGAGTGGATGGTAATGTGGTACGTGTAGCTTTCCTTTTAGTCACACGAGGGCTGACGCCGGTTGGGTTGGGTTGAGTTGAAGGTCGTGAACGTGTCTGCATTCGAGAAGCATGCTGGCAGTTCAGCACGGCACCCCAGCGACTTCATCTTTCTTGAGAACGGAAAATGTTTGAAGGACATACTGGAGATCGGGTGGAATGCAAACAAGCAGAAGATGAACATAATGGATGTGCTGAAGTCTGCCATTGGTGAAGTTGGAGGTGTGAAAGTGCAAATCAGTAGTCTGGAGCACCCTTTAATAGCGATCCAACCTGCGTTGAAGAAGCTCCCTCAGCCGAAGTCGTTACTCGACACGAAACCTAGGGTGCCGGTGGACGTGAAACCGAGGACGCCCCAAGGAGATACGAAACCAAAAATGCCGTCGGATACGAAAGCAAGGTTCACTCCTGAGGTGAAGGCAAGGGGAAGCGATGCCAGAGCTAGTATGCCGAGGTTTGTCCGCAAGAGCTGAGTGGATTCTGTGAGCCGGGGCGGGCGATACAACCTGATGCAGGATGTGGTTAGAGTAGACTTTAAGATGCCAGTTATAGATCGTTTGGATTCTACTTTATGTCAGGCAGCTAGTGTGTTCGATGTAGAAGTGGGCATGATGGTGGTGGTGGTTCTGAGGTATTGCATGATATGCATTGGATATTACAAGCGTGTATACGTCCAGGGCTGTTCGTTCTGTGGAAGGAATTCGGTGAGTTTAGTTATCGTCTTGAACTGGATGCCGTTATTGCAGATTGGACCGTACCCCGAGGGAAAAGGAAACGGCGAGTCCTCCAGTTCTGAGTAGAGAATCAAGTGGAGCAAATTTACACAAAGCTCTGTTTCTTCCAGGAGGTCTAGAAGATGATACGGAAGTCGGGTACTATGTGAAGGGCCAGGTTTGACACTTGTCCTTTTGGTTAGAAATAAGAATGTCTCAGAGGCATTGCCACTTGGAGTTTGTTCTGTGTGTATTGGGTGTTGAATTGAGTTTATTTTTTAATTAATTTATTTATTTTCTTCTTCGGCGGAGGTTCATGTCCACCGAGCGAGTTTATGTGTGGAGTGATTCATGGGCAGTCGTGATCGTCGCTCATGTTGATGCGGTGTTTTGCAGAAATCTTTAGCTGGAGTGAAGAAAGGTGCAGGAATATTGTGCAGCTGTTGTCAACAAGTGGTACGGTTTCTCCCTCTATGGCGGGTTTTTTTACGGCCTGGCTTGTAGGGATGGTACAGAAAATCGCTCATATTGATGGATAACATGGTGTGTGGAAGTATGTACGAGTGAGTTGGAGTCGGATGTATTGAGAAAATACTGTATCCCGGTCGTAGCTTAGTCGCTCATGGGTGGTTTGCTTTTTGGTTTTGTTTTGTTTTGTTTTTTTGACAAAGTTGGGAGTTGCAATGCAGATTAGTTGCTCCTTATTCGAGCAGCATGCCGGATGGGGATCTCGAAGAAACCCGTAAGTATCTGAATGCGAGTGTGTATGGATACGACCTACTCATACTTCTTGCTTGTCGGAGTCAAGTGTTCGACCTAAATATGTGGCTTCTTGCAGTGATGTTCGATGGTTATAAAGGGTGTCTTTCGTTGTCGTTTTCTTTAGGAGCATTGGAAGTTATCCCTGGAGGCTAGAGGCAGTTCAAATGGAACCGTTTTCATTTATTAGCTGTGGAGTTCAAGATTTCTTGATGCTGAACTATTTCGATGTCTATAGTTTGTCACATGATGATGTAGGCCTCCGCCAGCATTCGTGCAATTTATCATGTTTTGGTGCCAACCGCACTCCGTGATGAGGTGCGAAGTGTTGATAATCTTTGGTAGTCGTTCACTAAGCGTTGACTCGTCGTTGGGATTGGTGCGAACAGGTACACTAGCATATATCTGGCAGATGGTCGGTCTCTTCACGATGCTGCCCAGTCTCTGGTAGTGGAACAGAACGTGAAGCAGGAAGGCGTCACTCCTGCCAAGATTGAGCATTTGGATCAGTGTGTCGAGTGCGGGGACAGTGGGGATCTTCAGTTGTGCACGGGGTGTCCAAATGCATACCATCAAGGTACGGTTGTACCCGGCGTGAACCACGTGGCGGAAGTCGTGGTTGTTTTGTTGGGGAACGAGTTTGACGATGTAGGTGGAAGACGGATTTATTTATTGTTTTATTGTTTTTAAGGGATTTCTGGTGGATTTTATGTGACTGGGTTGGGGACGGTTTTTGGCAGATTGTTTGGGTTCAACGGATTCGTCTTCGTTCGGGGAGTTTTTCTGTCCCGACTGTCAAGAGCAACGATTCGGTGGGACAAAGGACCGGCGGCGGTCAATGACGAAACGCCGTTCTAAGGGAGCTGCCAAGACTCTACTTACAAAGGATCGCATGATTGGGCGGTGCTCACGGCTGTTGCAAGTTCCTGAAGCGATTGTTCTGGGTGGTTGTGTGTTTTGCAAGTAAGTATGGCGGTGTTAGTATGATGACTTGATGCAACTCTGTGGTTTAGTTTTGTAGGAACTGGGCGCATGCTCGGTTGTTCTCTTCAGTTTTGCAAAGGAGGCGAGTTTAGGGGTTGCATTTTGTGATTATGTGCGATGGTTTCTCACCTTAGCATTGTGAAGACTGAAATCATCCTTCTGACGCGGTTTGTTTTCAGTCGTGGGAGATAATTTGTTTTTGTCTTCTGTCTTATGGATTTGCTCTCTCTCTCTCTCTCTCTCTCTCTCTCTCTCTCTCTCTCTCTCTCTCTCTCTCTCTCTCTCTCTCTCTCTCTCTCTCTTCCAGAGCCTTTATTCGATGGCTTAGAATACGATGTAGGTCATGTGCAAGTGTGATGGATCATAATCTAATTTAGATGCTGTTTGTGTGGTGGCAGATCGGGGGACTTTGCGAAAACAGGATTTGGACCTAAAACAACTTTACTCTGTGATCAGGTGAGTGCTGGCGACATTAAGGGCGAAGCGTCAGGTTGTGCTGATTATTTCGTGATGATCTGTCTTCATGCTCATTAGAACGGTGTTGTTGGATGTTATTCAGTGCGAGCGGGAGTATCATGTCGGGTGCTTGAAGAAGCATGGTCTTGAAGATCTTAAGGTAAAAGTCTTGCTGAGCAAATGATTGGCGGGGAGACTAGTGGCAGAGTATGTGCGGGAACTTTAGAAATTGGTACGGCGCCTTAGGAAAAGGTGGCGTGGGGTGCATGTATATCGATTGTGTTTGTTCCTGTGGCTGCCTGAATCCATTGTTCACTTGTGTGTGTCAATTGAGGACGGGGCAGGATGCATGTGACAATGGAGTAAGGGTAGTACTTATAGTTAGCTGCACTGGTGCTTGAAGGGCTTGTAGAAGATTGGGGGAATTGGTAATTCATCGCAGCACAGGGACCACATGTTTCTTTGCGATTACAATGATTATGAGAGTCTATGTTGGTTACATTGGGAATGTAGTTTGGCCTGCCGTGGAGGTGCAGTCTTGCTCTGTTACGGGGTTTTTGGGTCTTCTCGGGTGGGGTGAGGTTGTGTTTCGATGCGTGGCTACTGTTCGGCTACGAGACTGTGATAGAGGTTGTGAGTCACAAGGAATAGTGGAGATGAGAACTTATATCCGAATGGTGATACGTGAGATTTTTCAGGAGCTGCCAGAGGGCGAGTGGTTCTGTGGACAAGACTGCAAGCATATTCACAGCATATTAAGCTTACTTGTGTCGAATGGACCCGAGCCGTTGGCTGATAGCATCATCAGCAAAGTGTTGAGAACTAACCAGGCTCGACTAGAGAGATCGGAGGATGCAACAGAGTCTAGCTGCTCAGGTTTCGAATGGCAACTGCTGCATGGTAGGGGTGGAGACCCGTCGAATGGTAAAGCACTGGCAGAAGCAGTACAAATATTTTCGGTACGTAACCTGTCTGACCCAGGCTTTCCTGTACGCACGGTATGGGATAGCCATCCTTGCGGAGAATCGATCTTTCTATTGTTGGTAAGCTTTGGACTGTCCGGCGTTCGTGTCGGCGTTACGGATAGTTACACAAGGACTGGAAGTTTATTGACGTGGAGCAAGAACGAAAGTAGAGCGATACCAGGAATAAGAGTTGATTGTAGTGGATTACATACATCCAGGACTAGCTACGTGTGGGGAAGTAATTTTTGTGGGTGTAGCCAGTAGTGGAGGTAAAGCAACGTGGATGAAGGGATAAAGATGAGTGAACTCTGGTTGCATGTGGTGCGGACAGTGAATGCGTGGTGTTCATGTGATAGGAATGCTTTGATCCCATTGCGGATGGTGTGTCAGGAGGGGATTTGATTCCTCTTATGGTGTACAGGTATGCTTTGTTTTTCATGTTGAGTGGAGTGGACGATTCAATTGGTTTTGGACGAAGCACTGGGATCTGTAGTTGACGGGCAGTTTTTATTGCTATGCACGATGGTGCAAGCAGTGTTCTCACATTTTTTTGGGACTGGTGGTTCAGGCGAAGCTTACGAGATCAGGATTTTGGAGGCATTTACTGCGTCGTCTTGAAGTACGAGTAAGTTGTACCGGTGTCGTCTTTCTAATTTGCAATGTGTTTGATTGTAAGGGAAAGCGTCGCGATGAATCATTTTCCGACATCGCTAATTGGATAACGGTGTTTGACTTGGTCGGGTTTGTTTAACTGTATATAAGTGTGTTGGGGACATGGAAGTCCATGCACGTGTGCTGATTGTTATGTGGGGTTTTAATACTGCAGCAATAGGGTGGTGTCGACGGCTCTCATCCGCGTGTTTGGGAGGCAGCTTGCAGAACTTCCACTGTTGGCAACCAACCCCTCACATCAAGGCCAGGTGGGTAGTTGGTATCGCGCGTTTCGGGGTTTGTGGAGGTGGACTTCGTATTAGTTCAGGACCCACTGATCACATGTGCTCTATCTTTTGGCGGGTCTGTGACGGTGTGAGGTGGAGGGTGGAGAGTTGTGCTGGTTGTGGCATGGCGCAAGTGGCGCAGCCGTCGTGTTGGTTGACCGGTGCTTGGTTTGTGATGGTGCAGGGCCACTGCAAAGCGCTGCTATTGTCGATCGAGAGATTGTTAGGTGTGCTTCGGGTGGAGCGGTTGGCACTTCCTGCAGCAGAGGGTGCGGAGGGTATCTGGCTTAACAAATTTGGGTTCAGGCGCATGGCGGAAGGGCAGGTGTGTATCTAGCTTGTCCCGAGTTTGAGTTGTGGATATGCATGTTGCGGTGACATGGATGATGTGCGATGTAAGCAGGCGGGTTAGGCGTCCGTGATGGCCGAGTTGACGGCTCAGTGAGATCGAGCACGAGGAAAATGTCAACGAGTTCATACCTCGGTGATGGTTTTGGTTCTTGGTTTTTGGGAACGAGTGACGTGGGGTTAAGTTGATGCGAGGTACTATGTGTCTGTGTAGTAAATGTGGGATGCGTGGTGGTTCAGGTGAAGCAGTTTCACTCAGACCTAAACATGATGGTTTTCACGGGGTCGTTCATGCTGGAGAAAGAGATACCCCCATTGGAGATTACAGGTAGTAGGAAGACGTAGGTGGTGGATTATGAAGGTAAGATTGCATTTATTTTTAGGTCAGGTTTGGACCGCAATGCCTTCGGCGGAAATGAATCTCAACGAGGAATTAACAAACTGAGTGCGTATGTTGTCCGTAATCGACGTCATGCCTGACTACTGTGATGGCTGCCATGATACCATTTACTGTACAGATCCTTTAATAGAATGGTACCGGCTCCAGGTTCGAAATGAGCTGGCTGGTCTTGGCGGTGTAAACCGACATTGTTGGTTGGTTACGCTATACGGAAGATGATCACACTGCTTGTCGCATGAGATCAGTGGTCTTGCAGTGTCAGGGTGCGCCGCTGGGCTGCTCTCTTATTCGTTTGGTTAAGACTAAGCGGGTTTCAGGGTGTCCACTCGCATCGAGCTGAAATCCAGTAAATGCACAAGGATCATCTCAAATGAGACCTTTGGAGTCAACACGGGTGCCACTCTGCCACTAAGGATGTCTTCGACTGACAGTCTGGACTCTTTTGTGGTTCCCTACCTTATTCTTGGGTTTCGATGTATTGATCAGCTGTCGCTATCTTGTACCTCTCTGCTGTAGAGAGTAAGTGTCTTGTTTATGCATAATTGATGAACAGACTGAAAAGAGAATGCTGCAAGTGATTAAATACTGGTCTTCTTGACCTTATCAGGTCACACTTAAGGCATACAAGTGTAAAATAGTGCTAAAAGCTCGTATTGAGTAGCCAAAGCTTTGCTTAGTAATGGCCCCATACCAGATGGATGAGCATCAGACTGTTCTGTATGAATGCCACCTCAGGAGACCTACTTAAGCGGGTCATAGGGGTCCGTTTGGAGTCTTGCACTTGGGCTGGGCTCTGAGGACCAATATGCCTATGATTATCAGCTGTTACCTGTTAACTTGTGGGACCTCATCCAAATCGTCTCCCAATGTCTTAAGTATGCTAGCAAAATATGCACACAAATGGTAAGTGCTTGTTAGTCTAAAACGGTTCGAGACAACCTGAAATAACTATTACAAACAGCACTACCCATTTTGGTTTCAGCCAGATATGTATGTTTGGTTGATTGACAAATCTGGTTGAGGTGATGAGTAAAATGGGGAAGAAACTGATAGGATTTGAACAAGAAACAGTCGGAATCGTTAGAATAATGTCAGATTAAACTAATTATATTATATCGCCTTATTTCTTGTACGAAATATGATAGAACCTCGGAGGATTATTTTGACGCTTCCTTAGTACATTAGGTGGTGGGAACATAGTTCGAGGTACAGTAAGGAATACCCTCTTCAGGAAACAAATAAAATGTAATACGAGATGAGACAATTTCCAATCAAGTATCATGCTGTAAAGATGTGTTGTGTGTAAAAAAAAATGATAGCATTAAGTGAATGCCAATTATGTGCTCTAGATGACCTTCAATTGACAAACCAATAACATCATTAGCTTCCTTGGGTGAATGGATTTTGTATGCTTCCAAAGCAAACAATTTTACATAAAAGTTCTGAATAGAAAATGTCATTTTTAAATTTATTTTTTGAAAACCTTTAGTAAAGAAGCTCACTTTGGTTAAATAAAAAATGATGAATGAAAAAAATAAAAATTAAAAAAATATCAATGTTTATTTATCCATTTATGGCTTAATGAATAGATGTTGAAGTTTTAAGTTTGTCTTTAGATTAGATAGGATTACTTAGATTTTGATTAGCATTTGTAGGATATCTTAAGAGTATCATTAAGATTTGTTAGAAACTTTTAAGAATTTTATTAAGATTTACTTAGATTTTCATTAGGATTTAATTAAGATTTACTTAGAATTTGTTATGATTTGTTTAGGATTTGGTTTGGATTGATTTAAGATTTAATTAGGGTATTTCTAGGATTTACATAGGAATTCATTTAGATTTCTTTATAACTTTAGGGAGTTGTTAAAGCCACATCCTCCAAATTATATGATGATTAATTTAAAAAAATATGGAACAAGGCATAGGGAATGGAAGACAAGGACTAGTGACAAAAAAATATGGGATATGGGACATGAAATAAGTGTCAAGGACATGAACTAAAAGATGATGCATAAACCAATGAAATATGTATCAAAGAAAGAGTGACAAAATAAGAATAAAGAAGTACGTATATTTAAAAGAAACTAGAATGGCTTATTGCCAAAAGACAAGGAAACTTGAGACTCTTGAAATTAGACTAAAAGCAAGAAAAGAGTTGACAAGAGTAAAGAGGACTTCACTCTTGTCTCTATATATACTATCTAACTAGTGGCTACGTGGCGGTGTTCTATAGGACCTCTAATATGTGTTGACTTTGTAGGACACATGCCTTGACTTACAAGGCAAGTTTTTCTATGTGTGGGCCACATAGTTAGCTTGGTCCTCAAGCTAACAACATGTGTGGTACATGACCAACTTGTTGACCACGTTTCTAAATCAAAAAGTCAATTAAAGACACATATAAAGTCAAAATAATATCTATAAAGCTTTTATAAAAGATATTATAGAATTAATTTATTTTTACTTACTTCTACTTACTTCTAGCTATTTATACAATTAATTACTAGCTTACATGCATATGTTCGTGACATTACCTCCCTTTTTATGGACGAGTTTCATGAAGAGCGATCATCATATGTTGAAAAAATCTATGATGCGATAAATTGTATTTGTTACATACTCAGATCTTTGTTCCCTTCGAAGATGATTGATAGGGCCTTTCAATCATCGATAGTGTCCTATACCACCGTAAGAAATCCATCCTGTTATCTGATCGTTGTTGAGGCCTTCATAACTTCTTTCAAATAAAATATTTTGAACACCGTCAGGAGTTGTTCTTATCTCTAATAAAATTACCAAACATTGAGAGTCTCTTCGAAGGTCATGATACCAAACGCGTTGTATCTCGCCATCTATTTGAGAAAAAATATGTCGTTCTTGAGGATCTTCATCTTGATTGCATCATCTTGAAGGTTGTGACAATCATAATTTCTCCTCTAATAGGTTAGCAAAGAAAGGCTCTTTAGTTGAATCCACTAGTTGTTGGTTTTCTATCTCCTCAGCTTCACAACTATATAGAAGCTACAAATAAGGATTGAAAGTAGAATGTTATCTTGCTTAGATTTTCTTTCTTTTATAAAGAAGATTTTCATCTTAATTTTGATGGATGTTGTCGATAAAAAGCCTCCACTGCCTTTGTTGGATTTGCAAGATTCTTTACTAGCTCCCATTTGCTTTCACTAATATAATATCCGTGCCAATGGACAAGATATTCTAATTTATTTTGGCATCTCCTTGAATCTAGAACTTCTTCCACTTCGAATTCTTGATTATTGTCCACTTCTATAGGAAGAGGTGGAATTTGTCTTCTTCTTGGTATGTCGACTATCTTATATAATTTAAGAAGAGACAAGTGGAATATTGGATGGATTTTCATTGACTCTAGTAGGTGTAAATGATATGCAACTGGATTAATTTATACAGAAATAAAAAAAAAATAGTCTAAGCCTATGATAGTCCAACTTGTTATAAGGACGAGTGGTCTTGATATTGCGACAAAGTAACCATACCTTGTCATCTATGTGGAATGGTAGTTGTTCCATTTGATAGACATCCATATTGATCTTTTGTTGTTCTTGAGCTTCTTTTAACAACGCCTTCATTATTGCATGTAGCTCTGACAAATGATTTCCCAAATCTTTTGCCATAAGATAATCAACTTTTAAAAAGTCAAAAGTATCAAGTCGTGGATGATAACCATAATTGGCAAAGAAAGCTGTTTGTTTTGTAGAAGAATGTATCGTATTATTATAAGTAAATTTTGCTAGTGGCAAAAGAGTTGTCCAATCATCTTGTTGGTAGTTGATGGTACATCTTAAATATTGCTACAAAACTTAATTAACACACTCCGTTTGTCCATCAGTTTGAAGAAAGAATGCTGAAAATAGTTTTATATCCTCTTTTAGAAACTTGAAAAGAATTTGTCCAAATCTTGATACAAACTGAGTTCTCCTATCTAATATAATATCCTTAGATAATCCATAATAGCAACAGATATTGTCAAAAAAGAACTTAGCTATTTCTTCACCTGTGATAGATTTTATACATGGTATAAAATGTGCCATCTTGGTAAAACGATCTACTATCACAAATATAGAGTCATAAGAACCTGAGATTGGAAGATCCGTGATGAAATCCATAGAAACAGATGACCTTGATTGTTCTGGAATGGATAATGGTTGAAGAAGTTTATAAGGTCGATGACAAGGAGTTTTTGATCTTGAACAAATGTCGCATGACTGAACAAAGTCTTTCATACCCTTCCACATTTGTGGCCACTAAAAATCTTTGGATATAAGCTCCAAAGTTTTGTAACCAAAATGTCCTGCTGCTGGAAAATTGTGACATGCTTGAAGAATACATAATCATGCTTCTCATTTTGGAACATACAATTGACCTTCAAAATAGAGTAGGTTGTTTTTGAACTCAAACTTAGAAGTATCTTAAGGCTTAGAAGAAGGATTCTTAATATTGTGAACAAGAGGATTAGAAGACATACTTGATTAGATTTTTTTCACAAGGGTTGAATTAATAGTCAATGTTGATTTCATTACTCGAAGACAAAAATGCTCTCGCTTCAAGAGAATTGTTCTTTGTTGATCAAAAGATGCATCTCCATCTTTTGGTGCAAGATAAGTACGTCTAGAAAGGGCATCTAACAAACCTTGTTGTTTTTCGAGTCGATATGTATTCTTGAAATCAAATCTTGATAAAGACATGTTCCAATAGACTTATAGACAATTCAAAACACATGCTAACATGAAGTACTTCAAATTCCTGTGGTCCATATATACGGTGACTGGATTGGAAGTGCCTTCTAAATAATGATGCCATTCTTGAAATGAATCCATGATTGCAAGAAGTTCTTTGTTGTAGATTTCATAGTTAATCTTAGTTGTTGAAAATCTTCTAAAATGAGAAGCTACTAGGTGAAGTTTATCATTTGTTTCCATTTATGATAATACAGCATCCAAAGCAAAATCTAATGTATCTGTTTCCATAAAAAATGCCTTATGAAAAGTTGACGTGATACAAGATTGGTGCAAAAATAAAGGCCGACTACAAAGTTTTAAAAGATGCTTCAACTTCTTTACTCCACTCAAGTTTATCTTTGTAATTCAAACATGTAAGTGAGGCTACAATTCGAGAGAAGTCTTTGATGAAGGTTTGATAATAGTTGGTAAAGCCCAAAAACTATTGAACATCTCTTACCGTTTTTGGGATTTTTCAATCCATAATAGTTTGAACTTTCTTAAGATCCATCATAAGTCCATCATTTGAAATGATGTATCTTAAAAATTTGACTCGAGTAGCATGGAATACACACTTTTTTATCTTGGCATAGAGTCTCGCATCACTTAATTTTTGTAACACACAACAGACATGAAGTTCATGTTCATCTTTGTTCTTAGAATAGATCAAAATATCATCAATATAACAAATAACAAAATCGTCCAAAAACTCTCAAAAAACATCATTCATTAGATATTGAAAAGCTGCTAATACATTTGTAAGTCTAAAAGGCATGACATTGTATTCAAAATATCCATACCTAGTTCAAAATGCAGTCTTCTATTCATCGCCTTTTTTAATATGTACTAGATTGTATGCTCCTCATAGATCTATTTTTGTATAGATCTTAGCTTCATTTAGTTGATCAAAAAGTCCGGATATTGAAGGTAGATGGTACCTATTCTTGATGGTGATCTTGTTGAATCCTCGATAATCAATACACATCTGTAATGATCTATCTTTCTTCTTTACAAATAAGATTGGAATTCCTACTGGCGATTTGGAATGGCGTATAAAATTCTTGGCCAAATTCTTTTCAATA